TCTTGTAAAGTCACAGTCTTCTTTTCATTACCCGACGTGACAATCTTGGACATGGTGCTTGCAGTCTAATTCAGATAACCTTATGATAAACAAAATACATCATAAATATTCAACGTTCACTCTCACCAAGCTAGTAATTAATATCTATAAAACATATATTTCGTGGTTTTGTACGATCGTCGGCGACGATATAAGTCACCCATTGCCGGATTTCTTGCCTGCGGCTCGAGATTGTAATTCCCATACAACACGGCCGCTCATGTAAACTTTACTTAAACATCTGAAAGATCTTAAGCACCGATCAGAGATGCGATCTGAGCAACGAAAAAAGAAAAACAAAAACTGCAACAAAAGAAATTTGTGCATTATGATTGGAAAACACTTGCTCTGAATGGGGGAAATCAAAAAGTTGAGATTGCATGAACTCAATAACGTTGACAACTTTAAACTGCTGGTGGGTGTAAAATCTCTGACAAAGTAGCATGTATACTTAGTCATGTTCTTAGGAATGAGTCAGAAAAGGCTCGCAATCATGCAGGCTGCTGCATGTGTCAGCTATGGAGACTTGAAGAAGACAGCGAATATGATGATGACAACATCTCAGACTCGGAAGAAGACTTTGTACTAAATGACTTAGATATCGACTCTTCAGAGAAGGAAGAGGAGGAGCCAAATGCTATAAATGAAAGCCAAATAACCCTAAGATCAGGTTACCTGGCTTCTACATGGCAAAGCAGGCGTTTTTCGTCATTACAAGCGCAATAAATTATAAGAAGTTCACATACTTGTAACTTTTGTAAATCGAGTGAATCAGTACAACCTCTCCTTCTTTCAGCCGGGAAATGTAATAACCCCTCCTCAACTGGCTGCCAAAAATCTATAACCCCTCCCAAAATTCACCCACCCCCCTCCTGGTGCTAAATATAATGCAAAATTACGCCATAATGCAAAATTAATTAAGCCCGAAGTGCGAATTATTAAATAAAAACATTTTGTTATTTATATATTTCATCCTGGCATATTATATATATATATATAATACTAGCTACTTCCTCATACAATTATTAGTCGGACTAGCCGAAGGTGAGGTCCGACTTTAAAATTACCTTTTAGCCAATCTATCTGTGTGTCATGTCGCGTTTGGACCACCGGAAGTTAAGAAATTTAATAATTAACTATTGGGTTGGCTGTGTTATTACATGACCGGAAGCTCAAACGTATTGATGTACGAATATCGTTAGTATTACATGCTACTTGCGCTTTTATATGACAAAAAAACTATTCGTTTACAAATGTGATATCTGTGATCTCATCGGAATGCATCAGTCTAGGAATCATAAGTACGCGCATGTGCAGATTGCTTGGTGCTTCGAGTAGTATGCTTTCGAAACTAAATCAATGGCCTGCGTTAGGCAGTGTTGTGTGGTCAAAGGTTTCAAATTAGAACAAGAAGAAACATTTTTTATCAATAACAAAAAGGCGAGTTTATGATTTTATGGTATCATTTACTTTTGGGCCTGAGAGGTCAACGTTCACTAGCTTAGCATCACATAATCTACATACCAACGTTTGATTTTATCAGTGAAAGCAAGGACTCCTTTAAAACGTTCATTGCTGGTATTGATTACATGACCTTTTAGGTCAAGTTTATTTTAGTCTCAAGAGAGTTTGGATATTTTGAACTAGACGCTCTTATTAGACCGTGAGTTCGGCTATTTTGGAGAAAAATTAAGAAATATATATTTTAATCTAATTTTTATCTTTTATGTAATATCCTGCTGTCTTTCTCAAGTTTCATTTACATTCTTAATATCATAT